TTCTTTTTAATTGACATTTACTGAATTGGCATGAAAGTAAAGAATATACGAAGCTCCAAAATGAAATGAAACCAGAACACTGGGAGGTAAGCATGTGGCAGAGAAGGAGCTTGCCTCAGAGTTGCTGTGGCACCTTGAACTTCCTCTTTGATACCTACACAAAATTCAGGAAAAAGAAAATAAAGCTCAAGGCCTCTTCACTCATAGAAGGAAATCTAAAAGGAAACCCTTATGTGAGGATAGGATCCCAAAGGATCACTTCCACAACACAGTGTTAGGGTCAGTGTGATTATGTTAAAAATGATTAAGTACAGGTGCCCAAATTTTTAAGTTATTGTAAAATATATTATAAATATGTAAGAGTATATAACATAAAAAGTATTATTTAAATAAGAATATTAAAATGAGTAACCATGTACACATTACCCAGGATAAGCATTACCAGAATCTTGGAAGACATGTGTACCCCCACCAGACCACGTCCCCACCTTTCACCACCCAAGACAACCACTCTCCTGAATTTGCTATTAGTATTTCCTTGCTTTTCTTTATAGTCTACCACCTATGTGTGTATCACTAAACAAATTGGTTTTTCCATCTTTCAAACTTTATGTAAAACAGAACCAGAATGTACCTTTTTGTGACTTTTCATCAAAATTTTCAGGATTCATCTACCTAGATACATCTAACTATATTTCATTCATTTTTGTGAATAGTATTCCAATGAATGATTATATCTCAATTTGTTCATTCTATTGATGGACTTTTATGTTTCTAGATTTTTGCTATTATAAAAAAATGCTGCTGTGAACATTCTCATATCTGTTTATTTATACACAGAAACAAGAATTTTTCTAGGGTTTCAGTGAGTAGAATTGGTGGATTATTTAGGATTTTGTGTGCGTGATCATCTCTTCTAGATAATGCCAATTGTTTTTCAGAGTGGTTTGTAACAGTTTACAGTGCATGAGATTCCCATTGTTCCACAACCTTGGTAACACTTGATATTGTCAGACTTTTTAAGTCTTTCCAATCTATAGAGTGTGAAACTGTCTCTCACCATGGCTATGAGGTTGAGCACCTTTTCTTCTATTTGAGTTATTCATTTCTCCACGTTTATGGAATATGTCTTTTGCTCACTTTCCATTAAGTTATTGCTTTCTGATTCGTAATTCTTAATAGATCCTAAACATTTATCCTCTCTCAGTTTTATGAGATGCAAATATCTTCTCTCAGTTTCTCATTTGTCTTTTCAGTGCCTTTTTGAGGTTTCTGGATGAACAGAAGGTCCTTTTTTTGGTTTTGTTATTTTGCATCTCATTAAAAAATCATTCCTTACTCTGAAATCAAAAACATATTCCACTGTGTGACCTTACAAAAACTGTTTACAATTTTTTTTTCTTACATTAAGTCTTTAAGCCATCCTGGAATTGATTTTTGGGTAGATGTGAAGAAGAAATCCAATTTCACTTTTTAATCAATTGTCCCAGCCCATCTACTTAATACTCCGCACTTTCTCCACTGATCTGCAAGTGTGGATTTTGAACCTTTTCAAAAATCAAGGTTCCATATACACATGAGTTGTTTTTGAACTTTCTGTACTGATTTGTTACTCTGTCTATCCCTGCACCAATACCACAATTTTCCCCTTATTATAACCGTTACTGTTTTAGAGTGGGTGTACAACTTACTTGTTCTACATTTAATAATATTTGGAATCCATTGGAGCCACTCTTCCTGCCTTGTCCTTCTTTATACATACCTTGGCTCTTCAATCATGTTTTCTTTACCATACCCTTTTGTGTCTATGGGGCACACTGTATGAAACGTGTTACAAGATCAAAAAGCAGAGGCAAAGGTAGGCTGGAGATGAGGAAGGAAAACGTTTTTTGAGAAACACCCTGAGCCCCAGGGCTTTGGAAATATAAATAGATATAAACAGATGAAACGTGTTACAAGATCAAAAAGCAGAGGCAAAGGTAGGCTGGAGATGAGGAAGGAAAACTTTTTTTGAGAAACACCCTGAGCCCCAGGGCTTTGGAAATATAAATAGATATAAACAGAAAAAAAAAATTAAAACTGATATACATTTTAGAGTTAGAAACTTTGGGGGAGGAATAGGAAAAGAACTCACCAAAGATAGGCATAAATAAGGTAAAAGAGTCCAGCCTGGCTGGAAGAACAGAAGTAATGAACTTTAATAAGAATAAGGGAATTAGAATGTGATCAGATCATTGGCAGAAAGCCTTTGGGTTTTTAGCATCATGATATGTCAGGGCTGCCGCCCAGAATTTTCTCTCTTTCCTCCATGATTTCAGTATTTTTGTGCATCTACAAACCTTGGGATCCTTGAGAATATAAACATCTTGGAGCCCCATTTTTTTGCACATCACAGGGCAGCAATGTTATATACATGCAGTTGGCCAGAACTTAGGACTTAGAAACTCCATCAGTGATTATCAGAACATCTCAAGTACCTCCCAGTGAGGAAGAACAATACAAGATCAGCTTCTACAGGCTGCTTAGACAACCCTGAGGTCAAGACTAGTGTACATTGACTTGCCATCCTCCCTGAGTCTTCCTTGGGAATAAGACAAAGGTGGGGGCGGTCCCAGGTTTGTAAAACCAGACACTTATACAAGTTTGTAGGCTCTCTAAGAAAAATGAACACAAAATTTTGTATTTAGAATGAGAAAAGAAATCACAAAAAAATGACTGGAGATTAATAATGTTTGGGTCCTTCATGAGATCTCCTCAGGCTTATGTGCAAATGCTTCCTAACTACAACTTGAGCCCATCCAGAGTACTTTATAACTCATGGTGACTCTAGCACTTTTCATTGCTTAAGCACCATTAGCTCCCTAGTAAATTCATCCACAGATGAGGGTACAGTAGCTATGAACTTACTGAAACTTTTCACTCATTTGTTAATCTCCTAAATACTATTTTTTAACTTGAAAAACAATGAATCTGTGCAATTAGCTGTTGTAGAAGTGAACATTGTTTGAGACCTGTAGTAAAAGAATTTAACTCAGAAGCTTTACTTGACATGTATAAATAGTCGTTGCTAAAACTGGTTGATTGTTATGTGCCAGGCATTGTGCTAAATGCTTTACATTTAATCCTCCTGCAGTGCTGATGATGCAGGTAGACACTACTATACCCAGTTTACAGAAGAGTAAACTGAGGTTTATGGAGATAAAGGAACCACCCAAGATCACACAACTAAAGCAGTAGGAGTGGGATGGGAACTGACTCCAGAGCTTGCCTTCGATGGTGTCAGTTATTGGGATATATGTTTACTGTAGAAATAATGGGCCAAGGGCCGGCCCGGTGGCGCACTGCTACAGTGCGCCTCTTGGGAGCGCGGCGGCACTCCCGCC